AATTTAATATCTATAGAAACAATGCTAATGACTGGTTTGCTGTTAATAAATACATGGATAACTCTCTGTTTGGGGCTCTCAGCTGCGAAGGCTGTGAGACCCCTGATTTCTCACTTCACACCTCTATATTTCTGTGTGTGTGTCTTTAATTCCTCTAGTGCCGCTGGGTTAGAGTCTCCCTGACCAAACTGGTATCGGCAAGTGGTGTCCATCGTGGGGGCTCGAATCTAGGTCAAACGGTCGCTGGAGCGATGCTTGGAAAACATGGAACTAAGCTGGAGGACACCCAAGTACTCCTAAAGCAATCCCCGTGGTGAGTAAGAAGGGGAGCTTGGAAGCATCAGGGTAATGATGGGACAGGTGTGGAGTCTGGTTCGTTTCACCTTGGAACTTTTGCACACTGATGAGGAGGAGGAATGAGAGTACAGCGAAGTAACAGAAGAGGTTAAAGAGCATGTTTATTTGCCAGCTAAAGCTAAAGCGGCAAAGGAGGGAGAGGTTCATTGCTACCCTTCTGCACCCCCTCATTATTATTCTGAAGAAAAAGGCCCTCCAGATCTTTCTTTCCCGGAAGACACTGGGTGAAAAGTAGTTGCTCCAGTGACTGTTTGAGCAGCTCCTCAAGCAACTGCTCTTAGTTCTATTCAGGCATGAATTCAGCAAGCTAGACGAGAGAGTGATATAGAGGCTTGGCAGTTCCCTGTTAGAATACAACCCCCAGATCAAGAGGGAAATATTATAGCTATATTTGAGCCTTTTCCTTTTAAATTACTCAAAGAATTTAAACAAGCTATAAATCAGTATGGACTAGGCTCTCCTTTTGTAATGGGACTGTTAAAGAATGTTGCTGTTTCCAGTCGGATGATACCTACTGACTGGGATGCTCTTACTCGAGCTTGTCTAACTCCTGCTCCGTTCTCATAATTTAAAACTTGGTGGGCAGATGAAGCTTCCATTCAGGCTACTCACAATGTCCAGGCCCAACCTCAAATTAATATAACTACAGACCAACTTTTGGGGGTTGGTGGCTGGGCTGGTTTTGATGCACAAGTGGTCATGCAGGATGATGACATAGAACGGCTTAGCAGAGTGTGCATTAGAGCTTGGGAAAAAATCACTTCAGGTGATTTCACCCTTCCTTTAGTGCTATAAAACGGGGACCAAGAGAACCATACGTTGATTTTATAGCTTGGTTACAGGAGTCTCTTAAAAACATGATTGCAGATTGAGCTGCTCAGGATATAGTGTTGCAGTTATTAGCTTTGGACAATGCTAATCCCAATTGCCAGGCTGCTCTGTGACCTATCAGAGGGAAAGCACATTTAGTGTTTATATTATTATATAATATAATTATACCAAGGCCTGTGATGGTATCAGAGGTAATCTGCATAAAGCTACTTTGTTGGCACAGGCAATGGCAAGACTGAGAGTGGATGAAGGAAATACTCCATTTCCTGGAGTTTGTTTTAACTGTGGGAAGCATTGTATTACTAAAAAAGAATGTAGAAAAAATAGCGAGTCAGGCCGCCAGATAGGGGAAAAAAGAAAACTGTTGAGCCCGAAATATGTCCAAAATGTAAAAAAGGAAAACATTGGGCTAATCAATGTCACTGTCCCCTGCCACAGCTGGTAGTGCTGCAGTAGATTTACCCTACACAAAAGCTGTGAGCCTTCTGCCTGGGGAATCCCTGCAAAATGTCCCAACAGGAATCTGTAGACCCTTGCCCGGGGGTATAATAGGATTACTTTTAGGAAAGTCTAGTTTAAGTTTAAAAGGCATAAAAATACACACAGGAGTCATTGATTCCAATTACAGTAGGGAAATTCAAATTGTTATATCTACTTCTGTTCCCTGGAAAACAGAGCCAGGAGACTGCATGGCACAGCTCCTGATTGTGCCATTTGTAGGAATGGGAAAAAGTGAAATTAAATGAACAGGAGGATTTGGAAGCACAAACAAACAAGGCAAAGCAGCTTATTGGGTAAATCAAATTACTGATAAACGTCCTACCTGTGAAATAACTATTCAGGGAAAGAAATTTAAAGGTTTGGTAGATACAGGAGGGGACATTTCAATCATTTCTCTACAGCAATGGCCATCCATGTGGCCCATTCAACCCGCTCAATTTAACATAGTTGGAGTTGGTAAAGCCCCTGAAGTATATCGAAGTAGTTATATTTTGCATTGTGAAGGGCCCAATGGACAACCTGGGACTATTCAACCAATTATAACTTCTTTACCTATAAATTTATGGGGAAGAGATTTATTACAACAATGGGAAGCACGAGTTCTAATTCCAGAACAATTACATAGCCCCCAAAGTCAACATACAATGCATGAATTGGGGTATGTCTCTGGTATGGGACTAGAAAAATAAAATTGCAAGGTTTGAAAGAACCACTTCGAGTGGAAAGACAAAGTTCCAACCAAAGATTAGGATATCATTTTTGATGGTGGCCATTGTTAAGCCTCCAGAACCTGTACCTTTAAAATGGTTAACAGAGAAGCCAATTTGGATAGAACAATGGCTGCTAAGTAAAGAGAAACTGAAGGCTTTAGAGAAATTGGTTACTGAACAATTAGAAAATGGGCACATAGCTCCAACATTTTCCCCTTGGAATTCTCTAGTTTTCATAATTAAGAAAAAATCAGATAAGTGGAGAATGTTAACTGACTTAAGAGTCATCAATTCAGTTATACAACCTACGGGAGCATTACAGCCAGGATTGCCTTCTCCTGCTATAATTCCAAAAAATTGGCCTTTAATAGTCATAGATTTAAAAGACTGTTTCTTTACTATCCCTTTAGCTGAGCAAGCCTGTGAACGGTTTGCATTTACAATTCCTGTGGTAAACAACCTGCAGCCTGCTAAGCATTTTCATTGTTTTACAGATGGGTCTAGTAATGGTATAGCTTCTTATTCTGTATCAAAAGGTAAAGTTTTCCAGACATCCTATACTTCAGTTCAAAAAGTGGAGCTTGTAGCTGTAATTGAGGTATTGACAGCTTTTGATATGCCTATTAATGTTATTTCTGATTCTTCATACGTGGTTCATTCCACACAGTTAATTGAAAATGCTCAGTTACAGTTTCATACAGATGAACAACTGATGACTTTATTTACCCAACTGCAAACAGCAGTTAGAAGTAGAATGGACCCTTTTTACATCACTCACATTAGGGCTCATACACCTCTTCCAGGACCTTTGACTGAAGGGAATCAAATGGCTGATCGCCTAGTTGCTACTGCAATATCTAATGCCAGACACTTTCACAATTTAACCCATGTTAATGCCTCTAGTCCCAAACGCAGATACAGCATTACCTGGAAAGAAGCTAAAGCTATTATCCAATGATGCCCAACTTGCCAAATGGTACATTCCTCATCTTTTACAGGAGGAGTTAATCCTCAAGTATTGGAACCTAACTAACCTAAGGGAATAGTAACAAGTGTACTTATTATAGGATATGTACTCTCCTGACCTTAAACTTCACATTCTGCCACCTGATATTTTTTAAAGCCTTGATTGAAAATTACAACATACTGAATATTGCTATTATTCAATTTTAAATCTTCCTAGAATTGATTGGAACAACATAAATGTACTAATTTATAAAATAACTTTTAGAATTTTAATTGAAATCCATATTGCATTTCTGTGTTTACTGAGTCAACTGCTTTTCTCATTCCCTTTCTCCTGAAAACTTCTACCATCTCCTCAAGTCATCACTTCATACTTTTGAACAGCAGTAAATTTCCTCTTGATACTTAACAGAGCAAAAGGTAGACACTGGGTAACTTTTCTTCACATAAACTTCCACCAACCTACCATTTGCTACTTACTCTCTAGTGTCAATCGAAATGATGGTCCTAAGCTTTTTGAGGGGTAATTACTAATCATTACCATTCTCTATATTCAACGACCTAATATTTTCTGAAGGACATTTATATATCAATCAATTCTTCACATTCTACATTTTCAATTTTATCCTACCTATTGTATCATTAACTTCAGTTTATGAATTTAGCCATTTCTCTAAGTACTTGCCATTTTGTAAAAATTCTCCATTTATGTTATACCTTTCTTTAATCATGGCCTATTTCTCTCCTTGCCTTCACCACCAAGTTTCAGAAATAAAATAAACCATACCTCCACTGCTAACCCTTCCGTTCATTACCAAAGTCACTGAAGCAGGTTCACAGTTTCCAACTGCATTTCCTGGGGTCACTAATGAGCTCTTGGCTGCATTTGCATTTTTTAATCCTTGCCAGACTTGACAGCACAAGCAATTCAACACAGCTGTTCATGTATTAGTGGTTCATGTTAGTCTTCATGCCATGTTCTCTTGGTTTCTATGGTTCCCATAAAACTGGTCTCATCTTGCTGTAATAGATATGATCCTTTCCAGTATTCTACAGAGTTCTGTCTTCATTGTTTTTCCCTTGTAAATCTACTCTCTGTAGTTGTTCACCTACAGTGTTGGATGAAAATAACACATATGCAGTTCTAACATCCAAATCTATATTACTGGCAATTATCTGGAGATCTGGGTCTGCAGACTCACACCCACATGGTCACTGCAGAATTGAGGATACTTATAAATATCTTTCTCTTACTCATTTCACTCAAACATGTTCAAAATTAATGTATTTATCCTTTAACCAAGTCTTTTTTCATAGGCTCTTATGATATTATGGAGCTCAAAGTTTTATAAATATAAAAAAAATTATCCTAAAGTGGCACAAAATAAGGACATATTTTCCTTGAATTTTAGGTATATATATATATGTGTGTGTGTGTATATATATATATATATGCTTAATATCCCTGGCTATGAATGGTAGATGAACATTATAATTTAATTTAGAGATTTCTCAATGATGCAGAGCTTATCCATGACCTGGGACAACTCTCCTAACCAAAAGAATATTTATCTGAATATTCTGCATAACACTGTAATGTATCACTTCTATAGGGTGGGAGCATTTTGAGGACAAATGCTGCAAAACTGGGATACCATGGAAATCCTAAGCAACTTGACATCTAAATTTCCAACATTCTTGTTAACCGGCAGTCCTGACCTAGAGTCTCCCATGCCTGGATCTCCATTCCTTTTTCTTGTTTTTACACCATTGCCTTCTCTGGACACAGCATAATCCTGTTTGTCATCATTACCCAGCAGAGTCTCCATGAGCCCATGTATTATTTCCTCTCCATGCTATCAGCCACTGATCTGGGCTTGACTGTTTCTACATTGTCAACAACATTAGGTATCCTCTGGTTTGATGCACGCAAAATCAGTCTCAACAACATTAGGTATCCTCTGGTTTGATGCACGTGAAATCAGTCTATACAGCTGCATTGTCCAGATGTTTCTTCTTCATGGATTCACTATCATGCAATCTGGGGTGCTGGTGGCTATGGCCTTTGACCGTTATGTGGCCATCTGTGATCCTCCGAGGTACACTACCATTCTCACTAATTCCAGAATCATTCAGATGGATTTCCTGATGATTATACGTGCTATAGTACTAATACTACCACTACTTTTGCTCCTTAAGCCTCTCTATTTCTATAGAATGAATGCCCTTTCCCATGCCTACTGTTACCATCCAGATGTGATTCAATTAACCTGTTCAGACATTCAGACATTAATCTGTGGATTAATAGATCTCATACTGACAACTGGAATAGATACGCCATGCATTGCCCTGTCATATATCTTAATTATTCACTCTGTCTTCAGAATTGCCTCTCCTGAAGAACGGCACAAGGTCTTCAGCACCTGTGTCTCCCACGTGGAAGCAGTTGCTATCTTCTACCTCCCCATGCTGAGCCTGTCCTTGGTGTATCGCTATGGTCCATCAGCCCCCAGAGTGGTCCATTCAGTGACGGCCAATGTATACCTGCTTTTACCCCCTGTGTTTAGCCCCATCATCTACAGTGTAAAACCAAAACAGATCCACATGGCTCTGCTCAGTCTGCTGCTTACAAAACGAAGACATAATTTTATTTGATACAAAAACCCTGGCATAAGTGACTTACACTATAGAAAAGCAAACTTGGTGGCTTAGTGCCTATTGGATGTGTTTTTTTCATATTTTTCATTCACTCAACAGTAAATATGTTTTGTATTTAGTCATAAAATATGAGAATGATATATCACCCTGAGACATTTGTAGCTTAATTAGGAAAATAACAAGAGTGACAAAACAAAAATAATACTCCCAGCAGCCAACACATATTGACTCTTTGTTTCAGGCTAGGTGTCCTACTAACTGCTTTAAGATATATTTCATTTAATCCTCATAACAGTCAAATGAAATACACAATATTATTTATTAAATGTTACAGGTGAAGGAACAAGTCTAGTGGCATTTGGGCCAGCAAAAGATATGTGAATAAGATGGTGCAGGGTTGAGATTTGAACCCAGGCATCCTGTATCTCAGATGCCATGTGCTTCACCACTGAATTACATATTCTGCCAAAAACATCTAACAGAAAGGTTATAAGATCAAAAATAAGATGTGGATCTCCATAAATCTATGCCATGTCTTAAAAGGTTTTGATAGCTTTCTTAAAATACACATTAGCTGTTTTCTTCATGGATAATTCATTATACAAAAGGTAGAAATAGATGTCCCATGGCATGTAAGTCATTATCCAGTGTTGAACTTTCCAGTCCAAAGAAAAACTTCAGGGATGAGGCACACTTGCTGATTTATCACAGGAAATAGGAACTTTCAAGAGTTAGAAAAGATCATGATGTAGACTGCAAGAAAATTTGAGGCAGAGGTTCTGAACACTTTTTTTGCACAATGATCCCTCAGGAATCTAATGAAATGCATGAAACCTTCTCCACAGATAAACACACAAACATTATTTTCAATAAAACTTCAGAGTTTTGACAAATGACATGAAGGACCTATAAGACTCCCTTAATCAATCAAAGAACCAAGGTAAAAAAACTTCATGGTTCTTAGCCTATACAGTTATACAGAGCAACACCCAAAATGTTTGGTTCCTGAAACAGAACCTATGGTAACTACTGATTTAAGAAAAAAGCAGAAGCCTCAAAACTTCTATTGCATAAAATGGTGGAGAAAGTTCCAAGTGAAATGGAAATAGAAAACTAAAGGCAGTCACACCAATTTGTTGCCACTGGAAAAGTAGTGATAGATGGGAGAAACATTCCATGTACCCCACAAACACTGGGGCAGCAGTGTGCTGGAGGCAGCACACATCAGCTTGAAAGAGCCCATTGTGTGCATCTCTTCCCAACTATGTGTTCTGTAATATCATATTGGTAGCTTAAAATCATTCATAATGAGAATATTTACTCCATGAGAATTGATAAGCATTAAACATGAGGACTTTCTTTTGGTTTTAAAGATTCAGTTGGCTGGGTGCAGTGGCTCACACCTGTAATCCCAGCACTTTGGGAGGCCAAGGCGGGTGGATCACTCGAGGTCAGGAGTTTCAGAACAGCCTGGTCAACATGGTGGAACCCTGTCTCTACTAAAAATACAAAAAAATTAGCCAGGCGTGGTGTCGCAGGCCTGTAAACCCAGCTACTAAAGAGGCTGAGGCAGGAAAATCACTTGAACCCAGGAGGCGGAGGTTGTAGTGAGCCAAGATAGCACCACTGAACTTCAGCCTGGGTGGCAGAGTGAGACTCTATCTAAAAAAAAAAAAAGATTCAATTTATCAGCACGCCAGTGAGTACAGGTATATTTTATATATGGCATTGCAGGAAACAAAATAAGTTAAAAGTGCAGGAAAATATATTCCCTTGAACACTAAAGGCATCACTTCATGTCAAGTTTCTGGCATTTCTCCTTCAGCATCATCATTAGTATCACCACTAGTTCTCCACATCTTAAAAGGAGAGAACCTTTCTGTTCATTTATGTCTTCTCGCCTCTAAGTCCTCTAAGCTCTCAGCTATACTCACTTTCAGTTATTCTGATCTATTCAGCAAGCCTGACAAACTTTGTTGTTTCCAGGACATTTTTGCATGTTTCATCCCAGTAATGCACAATAAAAATTATGCTCCCTATCTTGTGCACTTTATTTTTCAAGCTTATTTATTTATTTTTTTAAATTGACAGATAAAATTGTATGCAGATTTAATTGAATGCAGATTTAATTTAATTTAATTAATAAGATTGTATGTGATCATACAGCATGGTGTTTTGAAGTATCTATACATTGTGGAATGATTAAATCTAGCTAATTAACATATGTGTTTACCTAACATAGTTATTAGTTTTGTGGTGAGAACAAAACATGCACTCTCTTAGCATTTTTCAAGAATACAATATATTGTCATTAACTATAGTCATCATGTTGTATAACAGATCTCTAAAATGTATTCCTTTTATTTAACTGTAATTTTATATCCTTTGACCAACATCTCCTCACAGCTGCCCCAGCCTCTAGTCTCCACCATGCTATGCTGTGCTTCTATGAGATCAACTTTTTCAGATTCCACATATGAATAGCATCATGCAGTCTTTGCCTTTCTGTGCCTGGGTTGTTTCTCTTAACTAATATTCTCCAGGTTCACTCACGTTGTCACAAATGACAGGATTTCATTTTTATGGTTGAAGAATATTCCATTATGTATATGTACCACATATACATAATGTGGTACATAATTTTCTTGATTTATTTATCCATTAATGGACATGTAGGTTGATTCCACATCTTGGCTATTGTGGATAGTGCTACCATAAACAAGGGAGTACAGATATTACTTGAATGTCTTGCTATTTCTCTCAATTATGATAGTCAAATTCAGAAACAATTTGCATCCTCCCTAATATTTAACTTATATTTCAAAGTAGCTACAAAAAAAAAAAAACTGTGTGGAAACTTTTTTCTAATGCACCAGACTTATCCCATTGTTTTACATCTCTTACAATTTTTGTTCTCATTTCATTTCTTCACTCCCAGGACATTATGGTACAAAATAATGATTATGGGCTTTGGAAAAAAACAGATCAGGATTCAGAAACTTGTCTGGACATTTTCTATTGGTGTGAAGCTGAACTAATAACTTAATAATTCATCTGGAAACAGAAGATATGAAAATAATATAAGGAAGACACATAGTATAGGACCTCAATTTTAGTTTTCATTCCTTCTTTCCTAGACAGATAGATGTATCCCCTCATTTATAATTTACTTCAAGTATCCTTAAGCTGTATGTGGTGAAGAAGCAGACTTGGAATATTTGTATTTCCAGTTTGTTGTGAAATAGATACTAGTTTGTTGTGAAATAGATACTAGCACATAACTTGTGCTGTATGTGTCTTACCTCATATGAATGACAGCTTCCATCCTTATTTATCTTTTCATCCAGACAATCCCATTTATTACATGATTACATGTCCTGAAAATGTCAAATTGCTGTAATATTTTTGAAAGTCTTGCTTTAGATTCCTGTTTGTATCTCCGGGTTAACTGGTAACCAATAGTCACGGAAGGGCACTGGTCTATAGACCGCACTTGAGAGAGTGCTAACCTAGTCCATATTTCCATTCAGCCTTCTAAAACTGCATCTAGATAACACAGTTATCAGATCACTCTGCTCACAATAATGTTTAATACTCTACAGACACCACTTCTAAAATTCATGTAATGTCATAAAGACCCAACATAAACTCACCCGTACAAATGAAAAATATGTTAAATCACATGCAATATGTTGATAGTTCAGTACTACCTTTTTAAGCAATAAAAATGGAGAATTCTGGTTTTCAGAAAGTTTACGCTTCTTTGACAAAATCACCGTCTAATTGTAACTGATTTTCCTCAAAATATGGATTTAACTCAGATCCTGAGGCAATAATTCTTTAATGTGCCCCTCAGATTTTAATTTATGTTATTATTTCTACTAGCCTGTTTACTGTTTTTCTTGTCTCCACCACCACGCCCAGCTAATTTTTTTTTTTTCTTTTTTGTATTCTTAGTAGAGACGGGGTTTCACCATGTTGGCCAGGCTGGTTTCAAACTCCTGATCTCAGGTGATCTGCCCGCCTTTGTCTCCAAAAATTCTGGGGTTACAGGCATGAGCCTCAATGCCTGGCCCTGTATGAAATTTTCTAGAAAATTAAGTCTAAGTATCATTCTCAAGTATGGGATACGCTGCCTTCAAAATCCAAGCATGTTTACCAAGTGCTTGCTTATTTGTAAATGGCAAATGTACTAGGAAAAATTATTTGCCTTTCACTTTTCAGGTAGCATAACAGTATTGCCCAGATTAATAAACAGCTAAAAGCTTCATTGCTGTGGCAGGTCCCTAAATGTTTGCAAGGTACATCTTTCTCTCACTAACAATACAGGGAGTATGAAATACTATCCATCAAAAGTGAATGCATACTGTTTTTACTTGTCTCTACTGAGAGGAATATATTCATCAGAAAAAATAGTGCCATTACTTGTTCCAGAGGGTGTATGATCTGTTCTAATAAAGACATAATATATGTTATAACAATGGTAGAATAAAAATAGAGTATCAACTTGAATAAATTAGTTAATCATCAACCTCCTTGATCCATCTGTTTATTGTAGAGTGACTTGTGTAACAGTGACTTGAATGAAGTGATATGGTAGGAACCTGTGGTAGGCAAATAATGTCCCACCAAAGATGTCCACACCCTAATTCCTATAATCTGTGAATATGTTATATTGCACAGGAAAGGGACTTCCAGATATAATTGAGGTTATGAAGTTTAAAATAGGGAGATAATCTTGGATTTTCTTCATAGCCTAATCTAATCACATAAGCCATTCATTAAAAGCAGAGAACTTTCTATGGCAGAAGGAGAAAGAAAGCAACAGAAGAGAAGGTCAAAAAGATTCACACCACGAGAAGTACTCTACGCCAGCTGCTGGTTTGAAGATGAAGGTGTAATCATGATAGAAAATGAAGGTAACTTTAAGGAAATAAGAGAGGCTCCCAGGTGACAGTAGAGAAATAGGAATTTCAGCCCTACAGTCTCAAAGAACT